ATATTAATAAATCTTGCATATCTATTTTGCTGCAATATGTTAAGCTAAAATCTTTGGTATTTCAGATGTTGCATTTAAATCTTGTTATTTTATTATATACTTGAGTGTATTTCTAATTTGTTTTTTGATTTTGCTAAATTTGTTAGAATTTTACTTATTGAAGTGATAAACGTGAGGATTTTTTTGTGGGTTGGTGGTTTTGTTGGGCTTTGTTGTTTGTTCGTTAGACTTAATGTGACTTTAAAACAATTCCTTAGTATTTTATAGTAAATTTCCTTTTTTTTCATCCTACAGCTACAAGCTTCGGTATAGCTTTGCCAGCTTGGATTGTGGATCAGAAAAATTCAATTTTGGTGAGTCAGCTTACTTAGCTCAAGATTTTAAGGTTAACTTTCAACTGTTCACCTTAAAATGTTCATGCTTAATACTGTGCATTTTAGTCAAAAACGTAGTTAATAACACTTTGGTCCAAACGCACATCTTTGAAGCAAATTTCAGGAGTCACGAGTGGTGGAGTAGCTTAAATCTAACCTTTGACAGTGAAGTATTAATATGCTTGGAAGGATCTCATTGCAATGGTAATGAGGTGGTGCTGTGGTCACCCCTGCTCCAAAGTGTGTGTTTGCTGTTGCAAGGAAGCATATATGGAACTGTTCACTGGATTTCTGTAGTTCTGTGTGACAGTGGACTTATTGCACATCGGGCCACAAATCTGCTTTTTGGACAACGGTTCCATTTGGTTTGCTAGTGATGCTGTAATCATACAGTGTCCAAATGTTCTTTGTGTTGCATTTGTTGCTGCAAAGTATTTGGCTCACCCGCTTGATTTCTTTTAATGCTGTAATCATCTCTGTCCACTGCATCATAGTTTGGCTGCCAACTCTTTAATTATTAAAGAAACCCACCTGAGACAATGTGTGGATGATTTAAAAGATTACTTACACTAAACTGATACTCCTTATTTAAACCCTGCCCAACTGATTATATTACTTGTAAGTTGTTCTTCAGAAATAATGACAAGTATTAATGCAATAAGCTTACATTAATTTGTAGTAGGCTTGTGGTAAGACTACTTGACTGTATTTTAGAATAAAGGTTAAACAAGAGTGGTATTAAGTGACTGAACTATCTCATGCAGTATGTTTCATAATTTTCCTCTAGGTTTTGCTTGTATATGGATTAGCATTTATGGTTATTCTTCCAGTTGTTGTGGTAAGTATTATCTAATTAATATTCTACCCTCTGTAACCAAGCTGTAAACAAAAGCTCTCTTAGACATAAGTAGAGTTGCTCATTCTTGCCTTTCATGGAGAGAGCAAGCAAGTGAGCTTTTTTTTTTTTAATGTGGTTGTTTTCTCTGAAACATTTCTTTGAAATATTTATTTATGGAAAAAGTGTAGCTGCTGCAGAATTTAAAAAAAAAAATGCAGTGCCATAATAGGGAAAATATTAGATATCACAAGAGTTATGTAATTTGTCTCGTGCCTTCTGTCATTCATCACATGAAAAATTAATATGATGCGATGAGCTCGAGAGTACATTCCATGGTGTTACTGTAGAGCTAAGACTGAGATGTGTGTAGCTGGTGGTACTAGAGTGATTACTGAGTGTGGAACAGGTTGTTGATTTGGTTTCTCCTGGCTGCCTTAGTTTTCGTAACTTCAGTTTTTATTGATCTTCTGTATATTGTGAGATGTCTGTCCTTGAGATTTCTGTGTGTGAGGAGTCAATTGCTAGGTGAATGGTATTTCAGGGCTTGGGTTTGCCCTACGATACTGCTTTTGAACAATGTCCCTTATCCAGTGATTGTGCGTTTGGGGTATGGCATGAAGACAGGTTCAGAAAATTGACACCTGGAAACCTTCATGCTCTTGGGAAGAAGATTTTCATCTGAGGTGTCCTGGGGTCTTGGCAACTGCTTGCATTGCTGTGTGTGGAGGCTCAGCCAGGCATTATCCCTTCTTTTGAGACTCTTTCTGTATAATTGAAGATTTCGTGGAGAAAATTAGATGCGATTTCAACATGAATAAGGAGTCTAAAATCCAGGGTACAATGTTTACGTATTTTTCCCATCTTTGCTTTTAGGTTTCAGTTGGTATCTGTTGGTGCTTTTTTGTATACATGTACTTTTAGTGATTTATACAATGTTTATCATAGCTCAAGTGAAAGTAAACATCCTTTTTGTTGTTATGAACAAGTGTCCTGAGCAGAGAGAAAAAATAAGCTGCCTCTGCTTGCCTGTATATCAGATGTAGACTTCTGCATTCAGACTTGTCACTGTAGATTTCTTTTATAGTCAGTGAAGAGGAATAGTCATTTTTATGGAGCAAGTTATTTTATCATTTCATTCTAAAGTAGACACACAAGATGATTCATGCCTTTAATAGGCCTGTTTATTGATTCATAAAAGAGAAAGGAGACAAAATTAACTACTGTGTAGCCATCCTATATCTGAGATAGGCATCTAAAATAAAGTAAAGCTAGTTCCACCCTTTGAATCCAGATCAACAAAAAAGGAAAATACTGATATGTAGCTCTTCCTAGACCTCCACTGACCTAAATAACGTTCTGTACATGAGGTGAGAGAGGCAAGCTGTATCTGCAAAAGCAGTTACGGCAGCCTCTTTTGTGTAGATTTGGGCTAGCTATAGTTACATTTTTCTTCCAGTACCTATACTTTCTGATATTTGAAAGATATGGGGTTATAATCTAAATTTTTCTGCAGAAAAACTTTAAAAAAAGTTGTGTACTATTTTGTGTCAGGGTTCATCTATTCATGGAAGAATCAAACATAAATTATTAAAAAAAAAAAAAAGTTTATGGGGAGCCAGTCTTAGAGCACGTCCCAAATAATTAAGTAAAATGCTGAGTTCTTGCTGTAATAGGGGAATTTACACTATTGCCTATTAACTTAATTGTAGTAAGTGTCACTTAACTACTTCTTGTTACTTTTCACTTGTGATACATCTCAGTCTACTGTAAAGCTTAAAGGGAGGAGATTAATGAACAGACCTAGCACACCATCTTTCTTAGAATATATTCTGGAGTACAATAACTGTACAGTGAATTCCATAAGTTGAAGTCACTGGTGTAATGCTAATGAGGGAATTATTGGAATGTTTCTGAAGGTTTGGAAAACTTTTTCTGTCAACCTGATGGCTTAATTCTGAAAACTTGCAGTAAGGGCACCGGGCCACCTCCAGATTCCCCTTCTGAAAAGCATTTTCTGTTCTTAGTTTGGCCTTGGTCTGCCTAAGCTGAATTTGATTTGAATGCTGTGTTGCACAGTAAGGAATTATCCTGTATATAGAAAGTGGTAAATCCAGTGCGTTTACTGTTTGGTGGATTCACTAAAACACCACCACAAATAAAGCAAGCAGTGTATATGTGTGTGTGCAGTGTGTTGGGGGAAGTTCTCTAGGCTAGAGATCATCTAAAAACTTTAGCAACAGATTCTTTTGGATGAATATATTGGTATCCTTTTAAAATTTATGTCAGCAAATATTTTTTGTTTCCCTCTCCGTTCTGAAATTTGGTTGACCTTAACGTAGGTAAAATCAGTTGGGCTGAGTCATCTGGTTATGAACAGATATGAAGTGATCCAGCATAGCTGTTTCAAAGCTTCATCATAGCTGATGTCAGTTTGTTATTAAATGTCTCAGGGTTCCTGGTGGTACCGATCAATACGATACAGCGGAGATCAGATTCTCATCCGGACAACTCAAATATATACCTATTTTGTCTATAAAACACGGAACATGGACATGAAACGTAAGTAAAGGCATTGGGAAATGCTGATGTGTTCATCTGGAAATGTCACTCTGCTCATGTTAAAAAGCTGCTGCTTTATAAGCCTGTGTTAGGTTAAAATAACATTTTTGGTTCTGCTAGAGTGTTTTTAAAAACTTAAGTTTTCTTACAGAGTATTACAAAATGAAGTATTTGGGAAAGGGAGTTATATAGATCTATGTTTATGTCTGTCTGTCTATACATGGGGAAAAAAAAAAGAAAGAAAAAAGATACTGTATGTTGGGAAAAACATGCTGACCTGCCTGTAGTCCTGATTTACTATGTGGCCACTAGGAGCACAACCTCTATCTGTGTGGTTTTTTCTGTTAGCGTGACAAAGTAGGCTTCGGGAATTTTCTAGGGGCTGTCATAAAATTTTTGTATCACCAAAGAATGAAATAGCATTTCTGGTTCTCTATTCTTATTTGTTATGTTGTAGCTAAATTTCCATTTAAAGATTTTGCTCCCTATCAATTTCATGTTACTTTGTTACTCATTAATAGTTTTTGATATACTAATTTTTCTTGTCTGCTCACTTCTAAACAAATAAAAAACCCTCTTTTCTGGGTAAATCTGTAGATGCATTATTTTGGTGCAGAATTGGATCTCTCAGTTTGGAGGCTGGCATGGCCTGAAAAATTAGCATGGTATTAGTTCTAGATTGGAATTTACTAGATTGCATGCTCGAAGCAATTGAAAAACAGAATAAAAAAAAAGCCCCCAAACCCTCTAAAAAGGGTTCATAAATATATTCTCTCACTCCTTTAAATTGCACTGTTGTTCAGCTTTAGATTTGCTGGAAGATTGGTGGATTCATTTGCTCTTTAAACATCCTTTTCCTACCAAACAGAAATGCTTTGCAGATAATCCAGGAGGTGTAGGAGATAAGAGTACAGAAATATGCTCGCTTTCTAGTCACAGCACACATATATTTGTGTGTGGAATTAATTTAGACCAGTTTATGCTCTCCACCTTGTCATACGCTTTTTCCCCCTCTCCAAACAGCTAGGTGAGAAAGGAGGAATGAGAGTAGGTGAGACTTCTTTAGAATCATAGGATCCTAGGTTGGAAGGGACCTCAAGGATCATCTGGTTCAGCCTTTCTAGGTAAGAGCACAGTCTAGACAAGATGGCCCAGCACCCTGTCCGGCTGTGTCTTGAAAGTGTCCAATGTGGAGTCGTCAATGTTTAAGGAAATCACTGCAAACCTGGTTTCTTCTTTTTCCAAACTTGTCAACAGTAGATTATTTCATGTTCAACCTTGCTCAGAACCATAGCTTTGAGGCTTGCCCTGTCTCTCCTACAGATTGGTTAAAAAGTTAACCCTGAGCTTAAGTGGCCTTATTTAAGGACCTAACACTTTCAGGGAGCCTTGGGGTCAGAGGTAGGTCAGTTTTTTCCACTGAGGTCTGTTGTGCAATCGAATGAAAAATGATGTGCAGCTGAGGTGGCTTAGACAAACCACACAGTGGTCAGGTAAGGCTTTTGCTTGGCTGCACATTCCACAGTGGTGAGGTACCAGTGCCAAAATGCAAGGCTTAAGCCTGGGCAAATGTAATCAAGCTGGGGTAGGGAAATGGTGAGACAAATCTGCATGACTTGTCTTGTGTTAGATTTTTTTGTTGTTGTTGTTGTTTTTCAGGCTTCGGGACAAATGCGTTTTTTAAACTTCCTTTCCTGAAGATTCACACTTGTTGATCTTAAATAATAAGAAACTATTTATAGTTGTCTGAAACTTTCATAGGCTCTCCTCAGGAAGTAAATAGATAATTGAGAACGGAAATGAAAACTGATGCTTAGGGAACTTGAACTAGTTGTTAGTAGGTGGAATTCAATGAGCACTGCAAGTAGGCAAAAATAACTGACTTGCTCCGAAAAGAACTAGCTCAGATCTTAAGAAAAAGTTATTTTAACTGGAGCAGGTCATGAGTGAGCTTCCTCTTATTGTCTATGGCCGAGGGGTCTGATATGTTCATGAGCAGAAAGCTCATAATGGGGCTAAAATATCTTATTGTGTAGGTCTTTCATCTTAATTACACAATAGAATGTTTTGAGGTAGTATGGATTTTCCTATTCACATTAGGAAAGGAGCAGTCCATCATCTTCATGAGATTTGTTTGAAGGGGTATTTATTGACCTGCTTTTCTAATAATTAAAATTTTTTTGTGAATTTTCAGTGCTGACTGCACAGAAAACTGAGTTGAAATTTTATCCTTCCTGCCTCCCTCTCCAGCACACACGTTGTGGTGCAGCCGCAGGCACGTGAATTGCTGAGAGGAGTGGTTCTGTGAGCCTGCAGAAGTTGCCAAACTGCTGTGCGGTGACATCTGCCAGTCTAAAGAAGCCTAACTATGTTTTTGTAAAGACATTTAGAGTCGACTGCTGAACTTGATGCCATGCAAAATGGAGCCTTGAGCGATGTCTTTTGTCTTGTGCCAGGCATTGGTTCTTGCCTCCTTTGCCCTGGGGCAGTAGTAGCTGATCCACTACATAGAGAACATGGATATTTGTGGTGGTTGGGGGAAGAGTGGGAATAAGTTTTACGGCGGAGGGTTCTTAAGAAATCTCTCAGTGGCATAGAGTATTGCTGACCTTTTTCTCTGTCTGCCTCCAATTATCTTTGCAGGGCTTATCATGGTGTTAGCAGGGGCATCCGAATTTGATCCTCAGTACAATAAAGATGCTATGAGCAGACCAGCAGACAACATTCAGATACCACAGGTTAGTTGTATCCAGAGATATTATTTGTAAATAACTGTGACCCCTTCAAGGGAAGAGGGTGCTTCTAGGTGACCAGCTGACAGAATACAAGTTCTGAAGGCATTAATTTTGTTGAGAGGCAACTGTATCCCTTCAGAAATAGGAATTAAAACTAGACTTGATTTAATTATTTTAAAAGAAAAGGTAACATTAATTGGTAATAATGCTTAGCTTAAATGGAGTCAGTTTAGTATATAGACTGCTGAGTTTGGTTTCTGTGGAGGGGTAAACTAAATAGGGAATTCGAGTGTCAGTCCTTAAAAATTTTGAGTATTGATATAAGGTGGTGATCGCCATTTGATAAAGTTCTTTTAACATATTTAACCAGATCTGTGTTAATGATTTAATGCTGAAATAAAATTATTATCTGATGTCTGAACTAACAATGTCTTTATAATATTATAAAGATTCCTCCATGAATGTCTGTTTCCCTCTGGTTGCCTTTTATTTTCATTTCTACTCAGTCTTCCCAACAGAGATGCCATAATGCATGCTGTGGCAAATAATTGTTGCTAACAGAGTTTTAGGAAGTCTTATTTATCAGAAACTAACACCTTGGTTTTAAGAAGTTTAAAGCACAGTATACAAAATGCTCCAACGAAAATGTTTCAAATTTGCAAAATGAGGGGGGGTAGTCACACAGATTTAACTTTTGCATGCACACAATTGAATTTTCGAGTTGTAAATGTACTTTCATGTCCTAAACATAAAGAAAGAAAGACTGGGATACCTCTTAATTGTCTTTGTCTCATAGAAATTCTTTATCATCTTGTGGACTTCAAGAGAAGGAGCTGGAATTGTGGTTAGGTGAGGGTTTTCAGCAGTGGGAGCACATGACTGGAAAAGATCACCTTGATCATCAGTTCTCCTCCTGTGCTGTTGCAAGCATTGGCATTGCGCAAGCCCTTTATGTTTAATCATCCTTTATTTAAAAGGCAGTCAAGCCTCCTGTAACTATATCCTACTGAGAAGCTGTTCCAGAACTTGCTGTTCTAGTGGTTAGGAGTCTTGTTTGTGACCAATTTATAGCCATGGATTTTGTCATCGTTATTCTTGAGTCTAAATGATTCTTGTTGTGTATATCCTTAATGCATTTATAGAGAGAAGCGATAGCCCATTTGTTCTCTCTTTGTCTTCATTTTGCTAAACTAGAAAAGCTGCTGTCTTTTAATCCCCTCTTTCCCCAAAGGCTCTCCATTTCCCTTATCCTGCTACATGCTGAATAGGGTACTGTCCCCAGTTGATGTATTTGAATTTTACATTATTTTGTCTGTGCAGAATTATCCACAGTATTCCATGTTAAGTCTTAGCATTTCCTTAGTTGGTAGCACTGCTATCCCTGTGTTTCTGCAGGGAATAACTTTCAGCATGCTGTTTTCCACAGCTGTTTCATAGGGTGGCTTAATACAACCATTGTGGGATTGCTGTTTTCCGGATTTCTCGCATCTTGTATATGCCTGTTTTCCAGCTAACAAGCTCCCATGTTCAAGCTGCAGTTCTTGTTAGTATGCAAGTGCATGACCTTGCATTTTATACTGTTGGGTTTTGTTCCATTTCTAAAGCTGCAGTCATCAGTGTCATCTGTGTTCTTTTTTCCTTAGTGTATAGCAGTACAAGTCTCCAAAGCATCGATACAGAAGGGCATTGCTAATAATTTTTGTTCATGTATCGTGCTTTTTGGGCCATGATCGTTGTTCCCATTTTTATTTCACTGTTTTGTCATAAACCCAGTATTGATACCTTTTATAAAAAGTTTTCTCATCGAAGTTTTAGTTGTCTTGGTCTGGTGTTATACCAGGATGTGCTTATAAGGAACTTCTCGTTAG